TTGATTTTTAATCTCCCCCTTTATTACTCTTTAAAATAAATTGAATATTCCTAAGAAGTAAGTTTTCCGCAAGCTAAACACATGAATGTATTCCTACTAGAGATACTGCCTTTCGTGGCGGTGATCTTTGCTATCTCCCTTCTTACCGCGCTAAACCCCATCCTCGCTGTGCTTTTCCTGATAGCTGTCTTCATTACCGTCTCGGCTTACCTAGCTCTTCTGGGACTAACCTTTCTAGCCCTGAGTTACCTCATCATATACGTAGGGGCTATAGCCATACTCTTTCTATTCGTAATAATGATGCTCGATATCAAGCTAGCTGAATTAAGCTCTTCAGGAGAAGAGGCCAGCAAAGTATATCCTGTTGCATTTCTTATCGGCACGCCGTTCCTTTGGACCCTCACTGGCTCACCATTATTTAGAGGTGACACTCTTTATAGTTGGTTTGACCTAACCACCCTAGGCATTGCTCACATCTCTGATCCTTCAGCCCTCCAATGGACTAATCTCTTTGCGGCCTTCTCTAATATTAATTCATTAGGCGTATGTTTATATACTGTCTACCCTCTTTGGTTAATTTATGCGGGGATCATTCTACTATTGGCTATAATAGGCCCAATTATATTATGCCTTGACAAAACTAGCGGGTCCACCTCTTAGCTTACAGCAGCTTGTTAAACAAACAAACTAACCTTAGAAGTAAGATCAAAAACTCACTCAAATGTTCTTTTCTCTGATATTGTACCTGATAGGTATGATGGGTTTCATAGTAAACCGCAAAAATCTGGTTCTCATGTTGCTCTGTCTGGAGCTTATGCTCCTTGCAGTCGCTCTCTTGCTCTTATTGAGCTCCTATACCTTTTCTGATATTTTGGCCCAGGGTTTCGGTATCTACGTAATCGCGGTTGCGGCAGCTGAAAGTGCTATAGGCTTAGCTATCATAGTCGCCTTCTACAGACTCCGGGGTTCTATAGCAATTAGCAACCCCAAAAGGTAGTCCAGTATGCTACCAATAAAAAATACCCCATTTGGAGTTATAGCCATATACAGATGAAGGAGTCTGAACTAGGGGCATAATCTGCTCATCATGTTATCGTGGCCATCTTCAAAATACTTGGGATGATGGGTTAGTGTTGGCTTGGCTCTTGCTCCTTTTTCTTGGTCCTTATGGAGCAATGGTTGGTGCTACCGTGGCTAGTATGGGGACTAGTTATGTTATGGTAAATGTAAGGGTTACGGAATATTATTCTACGCTTGACAGATAAATTCCCGTTACGACAACAGAAAGAAATTGGGTTTCAAAGACAGCCCCTGGGCAACGAAGATGAGTAATGAACTTAAGGTTAAAGGAGGAGAACAGCGTTAATGTAACAAAATATCAAGCAGAAGTTGTATCAGAAAAGTTGAGTATTGCGATAGGCACTAGTTTAATGAAGACAATATCCCAAATGGCTAAAAGCAG